CTCCGGAGTTGGAGCGCTCACCAGCCACTTCCACCCGATTCCCCCCCCCTCTGAAAACACAAATAAGAGTGTAACTTCCCGGAGGCTGCGGTTTAAATCATGGCCCCTGCGATCCGGGCCAAGGGGAGAGAGATGCCTGGTTACGCTAAATAAGCCGCGGAGATGTCCCCGAGTGGGTTGGAAATACTTTGGCCATAGCGCGGAGAGGAGATCCGAGGAGGACCAGCTCTGCCACGTTTGGGCCACCGAGAGAGCAGCTCGCCTGACCTAGCACATTGGCAAGTAAGTCACCGGCTCCCATCCTTGATTTCCTTGATCGTACAGGTCTCGCCGCCGAGGCTTTGCAGCTGGTGGTTTGGAAGTCCTGGGCTGGGGGGTAGGGCGGGTAGCGGAGTCACCTGAGGGTTTCGATCTACTCCAGGTCTCATCATGTGAGACATGTGCGACAGAGTGGGCTCTGTTGCAAGCCAGCCTGGGTCCCTCTCTGTGAAAGTGCCTGGTAAACACCTCCTTTACAGCAGCTGCCCAAGAATAGGGGTAAAGGACTAGCCTGGTGACCACTTCTGCAGCTACAGCCCCTGGGAATGATGCCGTGTATGTTTATTAGCATCCCAGCTATCTTTTTCTCTGTGTTTGCATGTCCCTCAATAGTGGGAGTCTTTTACTAGAGTGCATTTTAGCCACCGCTTTTGTAGGATAGCCCGGTGTGTATCTGAGGCATTTATGCAATGCACTACAGTGCTTGAATTTGATCTGCATATCTCTTAACTTTTACCATGCCATTTGGTAATTGTTTTTTTTCTGATGCTCCTTCTCTTGTGGGTTTTGTTTTCCTGGCTTTTTTTGAAAAAATATGAAGTTATGTACATCTATGGATCTTCCTGGTGATTGACATTAATCAGAAAACAAAAGTTGGGTCCAGCATGGTTTCAGTTTAACAGGGCATACAGAAAAGGTGTAGTAAGCAAGCTGTCCAGTCCTGCTCCGCTGAAAGTCCACACTAAAACTCTACTTAGGAGGGAGCAGGGACAAGCCCAGGAGACTATAATCTCTTCCTAAAAATTCAGTTGAAGATAGTTTGCTCAGAACTAAGCTGTCACACTGCAAAATGCCAGATTTCCTGCTCACCTTTCAGCACAGCTAGTGCATAAGTTAGCTGACCTGCCTCATGGTATCTACCTGCCACCCATCACTGAAATTCAGGAGATGAAGATGTGATTTCACATTGAAAGGCAAACAACAAACTTCAAAGCTTATTTAATTATGTTTATGTTTATTGATTTTTCTTAGCACCTTCTCTACAAGACTGAAAACTATAATCTTATAGTGACCTTGATGAGCATCCTGCTTCAGCATGAGGTTTCACAGGGAGAAAAAAATTACACTGATTTACAGCCAAGCATTGACATTTTGCTTAGAACATGATCAGTTCCAGTGAGCATATGACTTTCAATAGTGGTAGTGGGGATAAAAGGGTGGAGCTAAGGATGTGTATTCATTTACAGCAATGAACTTGCTTGACAGTTACAACATAAATAATTCTATGTACCTGCTGCAAGTAATGTAGAGGGATTTCCTTCTATAGAAAAGTAAATGGGTATGAAATAATTGTTGATTTTTATTTGACTTTATTTTCTAAACAGAAGTCTCCAGTAAATGGAGACCAATACAAAAAAAAAAAAATCCAAAATCTTTCCAGATTAATTCACTTTGATTTGTCAGCACTTGTCAACTCTGAGGGTTTAGAAGGAAGATCCTTTTATATGCAGCTACCTACACTTTTCTCATTTGAGCAACATTATCATAATAGGATAAAAAGGTGCTTATATGTTGAACACATGACTAAAGCACCAGTTATAGCAAAAGGATGAAATAAGCCTTTTCCTTGCTGGGAATGAGTTACATGCATAATTTGAATACACTTTCAGAAGAGATATAATATGGTTTAGATCTTTGACATGCTCAAAATACTGTGAAATGTGTAATAAGGCTGCTAGAACTATTGTCAAAGACTGTAACCAGGTAGCCTTTCCTAGGTCACATTCCACTCTGTACGCATGATTCCAGTATATTTCTAGTCAAGTATACCTATGGGTTTACAGTAGTAATTCCCTCCTCTGTTGCAGAGTGGCAGGCTTTCACTAAGCCAGTGCTAGAGAAATAGTAAAACACTAAAGTGCACATTGAGCTGGAATTCATTTAGAGCATATCACATTGTGGAAGGGACCACAGTAAACATAAATGATAACTAAGGGCTGATTATATAAATGAATGATGTTCCAGAAGTGACATCAGGTCTGCCACCTTAGATGCAAGCTACTCAGTGTTTTCTTTTAAGTCATGCAGTTTAACTTAATGCCATAAAGTGAAGTCACTGACTTCGCTTAATCTCTGCTTGCCCGGGGAAGAAGGAAAAAAAAAACATAATTTAATGATGGGTCATTTGGCTTTTGCAGTATGTTGTATGATTGCTATGAGATAATCTAATGAGATGTCCTTTTCACTGAATTAAACAAAGTGTTACTGTTTAGCCTGTCACTTTTTTCAGCTATACTATTGAGAAGAAATATTTTATTGCATGGCCTAAAGCAAACTTTCAATTAGTACGACAAAAAGTAACTGAAAAATTTTCTATCTGATAAAATTGAAAATGAAGGGGGAAGCTTAATATTAGGAGTCAAACTATTCAAGAGTGTAACTAGAGTATTAACCCCATCTAAGGTATGTATTAAGGAATTGATCTAAGTTCTCCTTTATCCCTTGATTAGCTTGATGGTTACTTGGTCATTTTTCCATATATATGTAATACTTTTATAATGTTTAACTGTGAAAGCTAAAATACTTCATGAAAGTCACATGGTTTTTCAGCAAGTTTTATTGGACTGGTACAATAGACTAGTTTACTTTACATATTTTAAATTACAAGTTTCCAAAATGTACAGTATGTTCAACTTTAAAGTTCACATTTTTAATTCAGTACATCTTGGATAACACAAGCCTCTTTAATGTAGAAGATGGTGATTTGATTCAGGGAGCCTGAGGCACAAACAAACATTGTGAGTCCTTCCAAACTTTGTTATGCTTGTTCAGGAAAACTATTTGCTCATTAGACACTACTTTCATGGATAAACTACAAGTGAAGCTGAACATATTGCCAGGCAAGGAAAGTTCATATAGTTATCCCACTCATAAACTCTGTCACTCTTTTCTGCTCATGTTTGATGAACAAAAGAAATATGGTTCTCAGTCTTCTTCTATCATGCAATGCTGAAATATAAAATTTCCAAAGGCTGAATATTTAGCACTACTCCTAATGTCTCAAGTGCTGGGAAAGACATATTTTTAATTCCACTTTCTGGAAGTTATGGCAAGGGTTCCTGATTGCATGCATTTTAAGAGGAAGAAGCGGTAAAGTATATAAAATTAGTAAGTAAGAGTCTTCATTTCTGATTATAGAGCAGAGGAGTAGGAAGTTTGAATCTCAGTTTAAATCTATATCACTGGCATGCATCTCTCACACCCAGAGGTAGATAACAGGTTTCTGATACCATTCATTGTTTCAATGTTTTGTGAGACTCTTGGATTGGCAGTAAAAACTTGCATCAGAATCAGCCTATATTTGCTACCTTCCTATCTCACGTCAGAAAAGAAAAAGGGAAAGCTATCATTTACTCTATTTTTCACACTCTTACAATCTACCTAGAATATACAGGCAATACTTTTGGTTGTACCAGCCTGTTAATACATTGCATGCATGCATGACTAAATATATAAATAAAGGAGCCAACCATCCAATGGAATTAGTACTACATCACGGTTGGACTGCCTCAACATTGTTCCTTGGGTTAGTCCCAGTTTTTCATGCTCATTAACAGGGATGTTAAGAGGCACAGAATCAACTCCACCTTCTTAAGCATAAGCAATTCTATAATGTCTGAAAAGATCCACCTCTTTCTTGTTCTTTAGGGAGTCTGCATTTGAGAGGGTAATCTGTGACTAACAATATAGCCCCTTAGCTCTAGCAGGTGTGTCCCCCTTCAACAGTCACCAAGAGAACTGAAAAATACAGTGACATGTTGAGACCCAGGCTGATTTAAGGACTTAGATCTCTCAATCTCATTGGTAACGGGGAAGGCGAGGAGGTAGTATATAGCCCACTGTCAAGATGATCAGCATCAGTTCCATTGCTGTTGTGTTCCATTGTAATTACTTCTTTGTGTGTGTGTTGGCATTGGGCAGGAATCTAGTATTCACTTCTTGCTGATTAATGTTTGGAGGGTAGTTAGCAATGCATTCACTTTCCGTGACTTGTTCAAAATGAGAATAACACAAACATCATCAAATGATACTGGTGGACTAGTTTTGCCAACTCTGACTCTAAACAGGTATTTAGGACACTATGGACAGAAGGAGAAACTAGTGGGTTGTATATGGCTGCACTGTTGCTGGTATCTGGCATGATGTGCAGGCTCTTCCAACCCCAACATGAATCAAATATAGGTTGCCCCTTTTATGTGAGTCTTGGTATGGAACTAAAATATAATGGATGTTTAGTATACCAGCTCCCCCACTGCACTGTAAAATTCCCATAAGACTGTTGAAGTTTCTCACTGGAATGGTACTGTGGCCAGTGAAATTAGTAGAGCTTCATGATGTTAACATCTGCCTTGACAACTCAGGGTTTCATGGCTGACCTAATGACTGTAAATGGTTGGCTCAGTTTATATCTAGTCAACTGAAATTTTAGCCATGTAGTCTGGGTTGCTGTGCTTATTTTGATGGTGCTCTTTTAGAAGCTAATGGACCTTGATAATTTTGTGAGTGTTCTGAGGAGGCCTAAGGGAAAGAAAATTGGTCCTTTCACAATCCTGGTGACTATCCTGTGCTTAGTCACCATCAACATGTTTTGTTCACGTAATGGACAGTCTAGTTGATTCAAACTGTCTTGCTGTTGCAGCTGACACAAGCTCCTTCCATTTGTAAGACACAAGCTCCTTCAATTTCCTGTCACATTGCTGATAAAAATTAAATTGACATTGAATTGTATGTAAAGACCATGTAATGGAAAAGTTATTATCTTGAAAAATAGAGAGACTGTTCCCTTAATTTTTTCCTTAAGCCATTGAACTTATTTAATAACACATGGCTATCTATAATTAGGAGCTACATGACTTTATAAAGTTTGCTTCATAGTCCTTTGCACAATCAAATTGATTCAGTTCAGATGACTATTCAGTAATGCCTTGCCTCCTTCTTTTGGGAAGTGTCTTGTCCTGTCTCTG